GATAAAGACAGGCTGCCAAGAAAAATAGCTAGAGATACAATTATCAAAGAATTTAATGGTAAGCAAAGAGCATTGACAGACTTGTAACATTTCTGTGTGGGATGAAGTTACCCTGATAAAGCCCAGACTAGACAAAGCTGTGATTCTTTACAGCCAAATCTCTCTTAAAAAATGGAGTGCAATTTCTTTTACTCATTTCCAGTAAATTAAAACACATCAAACAATCTTTTTTATACTTAAATGTTGCAATGTGTTTGTCCTGTCAGAGTGTTTGTGCCTGGCCCAGGTTTACAAGGTTACTGCAGGTTACAGCATTGTCATCTGACACATGCACATCATCAATGGCCAGGCTGAAGCACTGCTTCTGTAAACAGGAGTGGGCTTGGGCAAAGAGCTTCCAGGTCCAAGTGCCAACATGAGCTTCTGCTGCCATATGGCATGGAGACAAGCAGCAGGGTCAGAATTTCACAGTGTGTTGCCTGGTTTCATTCCTCAGATTGATGAGCATTAGCCAAAGAACTGCTCGTATAGGCTTGCAAGGCAGTATCACTTGTGTGGTCAGCTGGTGCAGATTTTTTTATAAAAGTTAAAATAATCTAAATGTGTCAGTATTCAGGGGTTCAGTTTTCTGGGTTTCCCCTCCCTAACCTTTTTCTTTTCTTTGTTAGGGCTGAGTGGTAACTTCTAATAAAAGCTAGATGGAAAATCAAAGTTTCTTTTGAGAATAAAACTAAAATTATGAAACAAGGAAATGCTTTTATCATAAAATACTCACAGGACTCAAATATTTAAAAGGTCTTTCAACAAGAGCTGCATTCATGGTCAAAAAGATTCATAACCCATTCTGTGCTGGAAAGACCAAAATTATACAATTCAACCTAGCACAGGAGGCCTAGTAGCAGTCATTTTCACCTCTAATTTCAATGCACCAAGACAGGAAAAAGGAAAGCATAAGGGTACTTCTCTCTAGCTGAAAAGAGGAAGGATAATAGCAGTGCTTCACACTCAGGGATGAAGCAGAAGTAGGAGAAAGATGAGGAAAAGATGAGGGTGTTCTTGCTTCCTCCCAGGGCTTTATTCAGTTATGTTGGAGAACAGTGAGATCAAGTCCTCCACCTGCAAGTGGGAAAAGGCTCCTGAAGGTCCATTGTACTGCCACAAGGCTCCTGAAGGTCCATCGTACAGCATCAAGCCAGCATCAAGCCAGCTCTCCACTCATCCCTTCAGTGATCACAGACCTGAAGGCCCTTGCAGAAAGGCAGCCAGGTACAACCACCAAACTGCCCTTTTGGGCAGGAGCACTGCAAGCTCCCATCTGCCTCTCTTTGGCACAGGGACCAACAGCTAATTTAGGCTTCTCTCAGCTACTGAGCTTCTGATTTTCACAAAATATCTATGTCCTTAACTATTTTTGAGAATTCTGCCTCTTCTCTCCAGATTGGTTGAAATCAGCCAACAGACTCAGAAGTTATGAAGGGAGGAGTGGGCGAGGATGACAGTAGGACATGAGGAGACAAAAAGAGGTAAGAGTTTAACTAACAGTATTCTGGCACTCAAAGTAATGATTTATTTCCACAGATACAGGCAAATGGTGGTACGTTGACAGCTCTGGGGCACAGGAGATTCACTGGAGTGTAATTTAAGACACATAAAAGGTAGCACACATGAGACTGAATGAAAGTACTATGGGAGATTTTTCTTCCACATTTAGACTTCAAGTAGGTAAGTAGCAAAGTGTTTAATTCTTCATTTCTAGCTATTCTGTTCAATTTTCTGACAAGCCTAAATTTCCATTACCTTCACACTCACTGGAGGGGTAAGCACACAGACCTGGTGTCCCAGCGAAACAGCTGCATGAGAGAACTTGCTGCCTTGTGTGGGCTCACTTTGAAATGTATGGCCATTTTACTGCAAATTCACATGGTTTTGTATCAGTTCAATCCCTCTTACATTTTTTCTGTAACAGTTTCTGGAGAAGTACTTTGAATTTGTCAGGTCTCTCTCTCTCATGGTTATTTGTGGTTTGGCTTTCTCAAACTATCATATATATATATATATATATATATATATATATCAGTCTCCATCTCACTCAAGCTCCAATGACCAACAGAGTTCCTCTCTCAGGATTTTATCAGTGGCCTCAGGGCAGAACAAGCCACTTTTTGCCAGTGTGTGTTTCCATACAGACACACAGCTTGGTCACTAAATCTTTCCAAAAGCCTCAGAAAATTTCCACCTATAGCACTTATGATATCTTCAACATTGAGTTCAAGGAGGAACCTACAAGTCTTCCTTCCAAGCAGAGCTTCAACAAGGAGCATAGGTTGACCTTTTAATGGCAACCAGTGCATATTTGACAAAAATTAGGCTACTGAGCACATTAATACACTCAGTCAGTGAGTTAGCTACTTAACAGAGCCTCTTGGGTTAAATGAGAAAGACAGCAGAGAATGAAGATCAGATTCTCCTGACAGAGGAAAAAGGAATAATGTGATACTTTCTCATTTGCTACAGAAAAATTAGAAGAAAATACAGTGATTAATTACTAAAGGTGTTTTCTTAGCAACAATAAAAACATCATCCACCATTCTCAAAAAATGAATGCAGAAAATCACCAAAGTTCCCACACACAAGTGAGGGAAGCACTGTGGTTTTGCCACTGATGCATAGAAAATTGTGGAATTTTGAGAAAAAGAAAAAAAAATCTGGGTTTTCTCCTCCTTCAGTCAGTGGAAGGGATCTCTACTGCCGGAATGTGGTGGGACATCTCTAGTGCCACTTCAACCCATCATTTCAGTAAAGGCTGAAATTGCTGTGCCACAGCAGTGGGACTGCGGTCTATAGCACACTCTGTTGTGGCTCTCAGTGCAGGGGGCACAGCTTGTCAGGCCACAGTGCTTTGCTTCCAGCTTGTGGCTGCAAGGTCTGCAGGCAAAGAGGGCCTGTGGGGTCTGCAGCCCTCAGTATTTAGGTGTGCATTAGGGAAAGAGTTTGAAAGAATTTTTAGCAAAAGGGATCTAGGCCAAAATACCTTTCTCAATTGCAGTTTAGTTTAGCATTGCCTGATCAAAAATTAGATATTTCATATTCTTAAGGAAAAACTGGAAATGATGACTTACTTAATCAGGCTAATGTAGTAAATTAAGAGGGAATTCTGAAGAAATAATGAAAACCCTCTAGTGGCATGTTAATTATGACTTTCATCTATTTAGAAAGGAGGATTATGGATGTGGGCAAGAATAAAAAGAGATATATTTTCAGGGTCAGTGAATTTATCTTTTCAGGCATCTAACAGAAAATAAATTGATTTCCCTCAATGCAGATAATTTGAGAACTCTTAGACCAGATATGCCAGTTTTTTACTATATGGCAAAATTAAACTTGCTATATTTCATACTTCATTACCTGCTCAAACAAATATATATGCAAATTCATTCTTTTGATCAAAACTGTGCAACCTCTGATAAGAGACAACCATCCAAGTGCTAGAAGTTCAACTTCGTAATTTTAATGTTATTTGTTAATTCCTTACTGTGGATTTTGTTTCTTCTACCTAGAGTTGACATACAAGGGTTACAGTCTGGGAGTATCCTGAAATATTATGGCATGTATACATGGTAATTGCATGTAAAATAGCAATACCAAACTCCATGTTACATGAAGGGAAATAAAGAAAGAATTAGTGATTTCCATTCAGATGATTTCTCTGCCTGGAGTGCAATCTGTCTGCAGTTCAGAATGAGCAGCTGGACATAATTGAGAGCCTATTTTCCTTATCTACCTGTTGCCCAAAGGAGAACCATGATAAGACTTGGATAGTTCTTTGATACAATGCTACTAATCTCCTTCCTCCTCTCCCCTTATCCCAATTTCCAAAGTCCAATTTCAAACATGACTGAAACCAGGAGGAATGTTGGAGTTTTGAACAGGTTTCCTGTTTAGAAAAATGCAAGAAAAAAGCCCAACCCCAAATCCAACTTCTTTCCAGGGAAATCTTGGTTATGACTACGCACTGCTGATTCGCAAGCTGCCCACAGGGTTTCCATTTGCTTCCTGATGTCTGCTGCCCCATTTGCTGCCTGGCAGCTGCTCACAGCCAGTAGACAGGCAACAAACCAGCACCAGTAGCCGTATTCTTTGGTCCCTTTGCAGAAGCATGTCTTTTAAGATTATCTTGGATTCAACTATCTTTCAAAAAGGGGATTTTGCTGGCCTTCATTTAGCAAATGGTAAATGGTACTTCAGGCATCAGCAGAAGCTGCTGCTGACTGTGCAGGGCAGAGGAGCCTTGTGACTGCTGTTGTTTTCTGGCAGAGACCAGCACTGCAAATGCTGGCACACAACAGGCCAGAGTTTAGATTTCTACCTACACCATAAGTGGAAAACATAGCCAGCTAGTGTAGCTTTGGGGCAGAGCAAGAAGCTACTACAACCAGGGCACCATATAGGCCTAAGGTTTTCAGCAACTGCCTTTTCCCATATTGAAGGTTAAGTGGCAACAAATAATAAAGCTGAATGTCATCTACCACCCGGGGACAAGTAACTGCAAGATAGAGTCTGTGCATGTCTTTCATTATTGTCCTGTATAAAGCATTGCAAAAGCCTAAAGCATGGATGTAAATTCAAGTAAACACATGATGCCTCCTCTCCATTTACTTCCCTTTCCACCAAGTATATGCAATATTTAAACATACTGTGCTCCAACTTCCTCCAAGTCTTTATTCTTTTGTAACTGTAGTATTTTTTCACAGTACCCCACTCTTTCAGTTTATTAAAAAAAAAAAATAAATTTGAAAGTCCAGCTATAAAGAACAACAGTGTAGAACTTAATCCCTAAAGAAACAACACATAATTTTCAGCCCTTACCCCTCAGTGTAATTTACTATTTAAGCCACCACTGCTGTTGAAAGCAGTCCCATCTTCCCACTGCAGTAGTCAGTTTCTTTATACCACATTTCCTTGCATGCTGGTGCATGGGAACAATGAACAGAACCAGGTAATTAATGCAGGGCAAAGATTTTTATTCCCCTGGAGCAGTTGCCCTGCTCTGTTTTACACACAGATGTACAATATTTGAACCACACAAGAGAAGTGAAGTGTAGGAAAGGAGAAAGAAACAAGTGGCTGGACAGGCTAGAGGTGTGTGGACAGGAGCAGAGGAGGAAAGGGTTGACATGAGGGTTCATGAAGGATTATTATATTCACAAATCATTAGCCTTCATTTTGGCATGCCAAAATCTTGTGCTGCCAGTAAGATGAAGGACAAATTCTTTGGGTTGACAAAATCCAAAAGGGATAATACCACATGCCTATAACCCAGTTGTCAATTAATAATCCCTGTGGGGAAAAAAAAAAATCAGTATTCTAGACAGACAGACATCTAACAGACTCTTTAGATCTGCAGCTATGTCCTGAATCAAGAATCATTCATGAACCAGTGGTTAAATTGCAACTATTAGCTTGTAAATGAAAGTAGGGTTAAATACATGTTTTTATCAACACAGATAAAATAGCACTTTTCCTGCCTTTCATCAAAAATAATCAGAGAGCCCTGGTGGGATCTTGTAATTTTTATTACCTGCAATTTTTAAACATTAGTAGCATACTTGGTGACAGTAAAAGTACAAAATGAAAATTAAATCAATTGTCAGAACAAATGAAAGAGCACTATGCAATGCATTATTCTCTGGTCCTTTATTCTATTTCTTAATTCACCAGATAATTCCTAAAATCCAGCCATTTACAATCAAACTTCCAATCATTAGTGGTATTTAGCAGGCTTACACTGTTAAATACCATTCACATTTCTCATGAGAGTTGGTATGTATAGTGTTGAAGGGCACTAGATACAAAGCCTGCCCATCCACAGCTGGACAGTATTTGATTTCCATACCTCTATGCAAACTGACCTCCTGTGCTGGGACATTAACACATGAAGTGAGAATTTTCTGAATAGTTACATCCTTTTTTTATTACCATGTTCTTCAAGACTCACTGTAGTACAGAGGTTTATATGGGAAAGCTAGGATGTGGCTGCATGACTAATTTTTAAAGGTTGTGCACAGATTCTCAGGAATGCAGCTGGATCTAACTCCTTGGTGGCTTGCTTGTAATGGCTGAATTGAAATATATTGTAATGATTCTCTGCTCAAGAAACATGAACTCATTAGAAGCTGAGGGTAGAGCTGAAGTATTAAGTGGTTTCTCCTTTTTTATTCTTTTATTACCTAATTAGAGCAAATATTTTACATAAGAGTAAGCAGCAACTTAAAAAACTTACCTTGTAAATTAAGGTGATAATATCAGATGCAATTTCTATTCACTCACATTTTGAAAAATTTGTCTTTCTTCCTTATTTTTGCAGGAATATGTAGCATATAGGACTTATTTAATTAGTACCTTGAAAATTAAAGATTCCTTTATACCAATCAAATACATAGCATAGTTTTTAAAAAATCTTAAATTTTTTCTAAATTTAAATAACTTAGAAACTTGTTTGAAGGCCACCAATTCCTTAGATGGCTTTTTAGCTGGCATGAGAAAAGTGCTATTTAATTTTACACTCCAGTAATCCTTTAACAATTCCCTTTCAGGCAGAATATAAAATCTTATTATTAATTCCTTAATAAAATTTTAAAAAAAAGTTATAGTGGCTATGTCTTTAACCTTGGACCATTTTGAGCAGTTTTTTTCCCCTCAGACAAGATACTAAAGATCAGTACAAATGGCAAGTGATAAACTGGCCTTTGGGAAATACTCAATAATCCTCCTCCCCACTTTTTTTTTCACATCATCTCTCTGGAAATGCCTCTTCAGGACTGCTTGTTTTAGTATCAGTCAGTCAGTTTGATACCTCCCACCCATCCCTTAACTGGCAATGGCAAAAGTTTCCAAGATCTAACATTACCTTAAATTCATCTCCCTATTACCATGAAGAATGTCACAAAGATTACACCTTGTTAAGATTAACAATAAACACCAAATTATCAGAAGTTCATATCTCAACAGCTTATTTGCATTTTCCTACGTGCTTGAATTTGCTGAAGAAAAAAAAATCTATCACTCTCTTTTGTGAGATACAGCACCAGGAATTCCCTTGGACATTGTGTTTATACTTTACAAATAATCCTCTCCTTCAATTTACTAATCCATCTCTTTCCAATTCTCAAACCCTCACCATATGATGGAACCCAGCTTCAATAGCTGTGGGCATTCTGTTTGAAAAGAAAACAAATTTATGGATGCTCTTACTCATGTAAGACCTTGCTGGTCTTACTGGCAGGTTTGAAGCATTCCAGGTATCTAATGGAGATGCACAGGTCAAATAAAGCAATTACCTCTGAAGGGCAACAATGGTGGTAGTAGAATAGTAATAGCAGCAGCAGCAACAGTCGTGGAGGTAATGTCAGCTCTTCCTGAGAGTAATTCTAGACAAGTAAGCTAAGCTTCTTTTTCATCACTGATTTTTTTTTCAAGACATCTAAAATTCTATGTGTATGAATAACTCATCACTAGCATTAAAATATGTTAGACACACAGAAATAAAGCTGTCTTCTGGCTTTTTGAGTCCAGAGTCTTCCTACATCAGGAAACACATATGAGGACATATCAGACACACCTCAAGAAGAAAGGTTTTCATGAAGAGATCAAGTAGCACCTAACAATCATTTGGAGTTTCTCAGTTTCAATGTTTCTATTGAAAAAATTCTCAAAAATCTGACTGATTGGCTGGTTAGAAACCATCTTCCAAATGCCAGTCTACCCTTGTCATGGCTAACCCCTACCAATGTGCTTTTTCTGGCTCTATCATTTGGTGCAAACAATTATTTTTCCAACCTGATATTTACGCATGGCTTGACAAAATGTGCAGCACTGTAGGAGGGTGCAAAGAAAATGGGTGCCAAGCTCTATTCAATGTCCCCTTCCCACCCACTTAGGTAGGGAGAATACTTCTGGACCTGACTGAGCACTGTAGTTTATCACCCAAGCTGATCACTAAGAGAAAGATTAGAAAGAGATCTCCATTACAGGTGGATCAATCCACAAATTCTTTATTTCATGGAGGTTTTTGTCCCTTCCTCTGGCCTCTGTTGCAGAAAACTTCAGGCAACATGAAACCTCAATATAGCAATTCAATTTTTACTGAAGCCATTTGGCATGGGCTATCCGAGTATATATGCACAAAAATACAAAATGCATAGACATCACTTTTTAAAAGCTGTACTTTCCTAAAAGGACCCAGTGAGGTAAAATTGCTATTAAAAACAATTAATTTGCAGCCATTTTTTAAACACCTAATTTCCCCACTAGTCTGTATGCAACACTACTTCAAACAGCTGCACATTTAGTGAATATATGAGGAAAAGGTTTGCATTATGTTTGCTAAAATGTCTAGGATTTCAATTCCATCTGCTCTTGGGTGTGTTTGATTTGTATATTAATTATGCCTGTTTGTAGCTGTAAATTTGCTCCAGATTAGTAGGTGATTGGTTCCACGCACAGATTCACTACGCTGCATGGCTCCCTTGCACTTTTATAGTTTTCAAATGGTTCTATACTTATGCTTTTTAAATTATTTCTGATACCTATCTTATTCAGTGTGAGTTTTCAACTCTGTCTTATTCAGAAGTTTTTTTTTTTCCCTTAAGAGAAAACATGTCCTTTTGGTTCTTCTCTTCCCGGACCCCTTTCACTTGTCTGGTATTGTCAGCTTTGTCCATGGTGCTACTATAAAACACAAGAAAAAACTGCTTCTTTTCCCAGTCTTACAGGGAAATTCAGCACATTCATATTTAGCGTTTTCTACATGAATGACTTAAACTAATGGGTTTAGGAATTACATGAGCACTCAGCAGGGCGTATACATACCCGTTACTGTGCAAACTTTAAATGCTTGTCACGTCAAAATAAAACTCTTCCACATGTGGAACATTTTTGCTCTTGATCACTGAGTTTTCCTCCTGGTTTTCAAAATGCCCAAAAGTTCTGAGCTGTCACCTTTGTAGTTAAGACCTGTGAGATATGCTTGAGAATGTGACACATCTGAAATGAGCTGCATAAAAACTGCCTTTGTGTCTATAAATGTTTGTGTACACTTAGAAAATAAATGTTGAAGAGGTCAAGCTGATTTCTCTCATATTTTAGGAAAAGAACTGCTCTGAGCTGAAAAATTGTATGCCAAGTTATGGCCTGAAGGAAATTTTTACAATCAAATTAAAAACCTTTGAGACTAAGAGTTTATAATGGAAATACTAACACAGCCTTAACCATAGCAGCACTAGCAGGCACTGCAATAATATTAGGAAAGCTCTCCCTGCCCACAATCTAAACTAAATAAAAAAGATGCCATTTTCCAACATATACCCCAGGCTAGCAAATAACAATGATTTAATGTACTTGCCCTGTGGTAATATAGTACCACTGCAAACCTCTGAGCCAATTTTTCTTTTCTTTTCTTTATTTTTTCTTTTCAAACATATATGCCCCATAGGGAAAGGATTGCAATTTAACTCTTATTTGTGGATATATCGCTTTCATTTCAACAATTCTTGAAAGCCTTCCTGCTGTCACATGCTACTGTATGTAAGCACCCAACTGAATAAAGACCCACCAGGCTTTTTCAGGAGTTTATTCACAGGTTTGGCTTTGCTTATTGTAGTATGCACCACATTTAAATTAGATGAGGGCTACTGTAAAACAATAACATTGTCAATGACTGGAATCTCACTTTCCCCTCTAACAGTCTGAAGCAAATTAATGTATTGGTTGTTCATTAGCAAGTAAACAGTTTTTGCTACAATGTCAAGGAAAAAAGAATGTGTTCATTAATATGAACAATCTTCATCTACAAAGATGATTTACACAATGCATGTAATGAGATAGCTTTCCCCTAACTAGTACACTACCAAACTGAAAAGCTGATTCTTAGGACTTTCTTGAAATTACAATATTGTTTTTTTACCAATAAGAAAGACAGTCTCAGTCACCTATGCCACCATTGTAAGCTCTATCAGTACTTTAAAAAAAGAGAGATTTCTGGAATCACTTGTGGAATTAATAAAATTGATAACTACAGACTTACACTGCATCAATGATACATATTATTCCTGTGATAACTTGAGCTAAAAATAAGATTAATTTGGTTATAGAAATTCCTTAAACAACAACACTTAAATTATTTCAAACTTGATTTTTTTCAAGAATTTTCTGAAAAAATCAGCAAACACTGGCTAAAAAAGCAAAGCAGTTTGGATACACCAATGTAATCAGCATGCCTAGTGCTTTTCTGTTAACCCTCTGAGTAGAACCATAGTATTCTGGATTTTTTGTACATTAATGCTGTGAAAATTACAACTTACAGAAATACTAATTTATATGTCATGACTTAATAAATCATATTCTAAATATATTTGGGCTAGGCACCTCATCTCATGAGTGATTAATCCACCCTAGAATTTTAATTATCTGTTAGAGAAACAAGTCTCTAGCACCTATATGGGAAGCTTAGATTATTGCCCTATATTAGATGCTTAACTCTTAGACAGATACATCTAGATGAGACAATTCCCAGCTCACTACCTTTTAGCTAATCCTGCACTATCCAGTACTACATTTTCGCATCAAAGTTTGCTTACTGCATGTAAGCTGACTAGAATATCCCACTTAGGTTAGAGTCCACATTATCCCCGCTTATATTTAATTGAGAGGAATTAAGCTGGAAGCGACCCTGCTCTACTTTCCTGCTAATACTAAGATCAGGCTGTCAGGCATCTCCAGAGACCAAACAGTAGATGACCTGAGTCACCCTTCGGAAGTGCTCGTCTCCATCTCCTTGGTGATAGATGGTGCCTACCACAACTGCCATCCATCTCTGCTAACGAAAACAATTGTTGTCACATTTAGCAGCAATACCAGCCAATGATTCAAAAGGGAAATGAATGAAGTCAGGACTGGTCTGTATTACAGTAAAATGACCACGGTGTGCTCGCACAGATTTTCACATTAGAAATAGTCTACTATGCTTGATTTCTTTTTTAATTGGTGTTTCAAATATTTATAGGGACACATATTCTTATCTTCACTTACCCCCAAGAATTCAGAGGTTAGACTAAAAAAATGGCAGTCACTGCCAAACAAGCCTAAACCATTATAACTTCCATGAAACCATAAATATATATACATATATGGATATATTAAAATATGTATCTATGGGTATATGGATATATTTTAAATCACCATTGGAAACTCTTTTAAAACAGTTCAAATTTTCAGATACCTTTCCTTGAAACCTAAAATAGGCTATTAGCAATTTGAAACCCAGTCTTTCACAAACCTAAAAATAATTTAAAGAAATATTTTTATGGTTATGTTCATAAAACATGAATCAACAATCAGAAACATAAGATGTTGAGGATGAGTAGGATTTTCAGGATCTAGGATTATTTTTATATACATTTAAAGTAATACAAGATGGTCTAAGATGAAGGAGCCAAACATCTTATTTTAATGATAACCCTGTATTCCAAAGCAAAGAAAATGTGATAAGAAAATCCCAGATGGGTTTTTGAATAATATTTCTGTTGCATAAGGTAAACCATATTTTTTTTCTTCTGACTTCCTTCTCTAATTAAGAAGAATGAACATTTGCCTTTGCTTTAAGACTGCCAAATTTTCACAATAGTCAAGGAGCATGTGGTATTAATGGACACTTTTTTATTACCACATATATGTCTTACATTTACATAGCTGAGCTGTATCTCTTCTAAAGGGAAGGCTGTGATAAAATGTGGGAAGGTCAGTGCTGGTCAAACTTGTGCCAGATTCTGACCTACTGTAAATTACGGTAGGTAAGCGGCAAGGAATGGTTTATCTTGACTGACGTTTTGATCCTATGGAAAAAAAAAATCCTTGCCCCATCCAAAAGTTATGAATGTACAGCCATTAAGATGACAGTGGTTGTTCCCTATCTACTGAGCATCTTCTCTCCAGAATGAGTCGAGGGTGGGATTGTTATAGTGAAGGATCTGACACACAGATACAACCCTTTCCCAAACCTAAAATCTGAGAACATTTGTATGGTAGTTCCTTTGTCCCCTCACCTCCTGATCCAATGGAGTTCTCTTATTTGCTTCACTTGCTTTAAAATGTTTTTACTCAGGTTCCAGACAGAGTAACTGAAGCCTTCTGCCCATGGACATGCATTCAGAGATCAGTCTCCTGATGGCTTAGATGACTTTCTAGTAAACTCAAAATCTGAAGTTGGTGTCTGATGTAAGCTTCTACCAGCAGTTCCTTCTACAGTTGATGGAGTGAGACCAATAGGTTAATCAAAACGTGAGTCCTGCCTAAAATGTGTGCCTTTGTCAGGTGAGATGAATCAAACCTGGAATGCTCATCTCTCTGTATTACCCAGGAAATCTGGAGAACTAGTTTCTACTAAATATCTCACTTCTAGATCATCAATATCAGATGGATTAAAAAATATTTATTAAATACTTATACCACTTGTGTGAAGATCCACAAGATTAAATTTCTGTAAGTTTTCATGTCTGAGGCAATGAAAGATGCTCTTTTTAAGACGAAGAACAGAATTCCAATGTTTCTTGAACTACAGTTCAACTGATACTTCCACCTAGAAGTGCAAAGAGCTTTACACTAGCCCCCACCGGCTGCAGGTATACATTGGCTGCCACAACTGCTCATACGGACAGTTCTGTGAACAAACACCACTCAGAATGGGAATGGTACTGTGGGCAACTTGCCCTGTTCCTGAAAATTTATTTCTACTTCCCGGAAAGCTGAGAATATCTGCACATCATTTTGGGAAGTATAGTGATACTTCTGGCTGTATACCAGGAAAGAAAAATGAAGGAAGAAAGAATAAAGGCAAGATAAAAGGCAAGGCTGGGGGGAGAGAGAAAGAGAAAGAGTGAGAGAGAAAGAGAGAGAGAGAGAGAGAGAGAGAGAGAGAGAGAGAGAGAGAGAGAGAGAGGAAACCACATGTGACTTTTAAAAAACACTGTGATGAGCAATAAGAAAAACTATAAATTTCACAATGTTTTTTATTTTAGAACGTGATTTTGAAAGTTGTTTTTCATTCAAGTGAAATTTTGAGCCATCTTTTTTTTTTTTTCATATCACATCTGAAGCAAAAGTCTACACACTGTAATATTTCTGTGGAAGCCAACTTTATGATAATTGTCAAATAAAAAGCTATAATGTTGTCTTGAGGTTTTAACAAACCAGTAATATATATATACTCTGTGTAAATGCCCATTTTATTAAATATTACAAATAAAACTGGTGAATCATTTTTAGTTTCTCCATTCTAAAGACAAAACTTCTCATTCTGTTTAGGCTTTACATATATATTAAATGACTTGTATTTTCTCCAATTTAGAAGTACTCTAGCTATTTAAAGGGTAATGCTCATCAGTGTTAATCTTTTTAAATGGTTCTGCCGGAAAAACCAGATCATACTGAGAGGATACCTGTACATTCCTGAATGTGATGCAAAGGAACCAGGAACTTCTCAGCTAGATCATTACATACTATTACATGGCAGAATGTGCCCTCAAGCAATTTCCCAAAACAACATTATCATTAGCAGCAAATATATGGAAGCAATCTTTTGTGGCCATCATCATGTCATCTTCTGTAAACCATGAGAATGACCTAAACTGAATTTCCCATTTAGCTCTTCATCATAGCCTCCAATAACAGTCACTCCGTGTGGAAATATGATGCAGGTTTGGAATGAGCTGCTGCAGAAGATACCATTTGTTTAATTTTATTTTCATTTTTAAGCCTATATTTATAATTCCTAAGCAATAGTACATTTGATATATTTTTGGCCAGAGACAGGCAAGGATACTATAAAAGATATGTGCGTATAAAAGCAAAAAAGCCAGAATAAAACCCTAATATGGGTTGTCAAGATTTAAGGTGATCATTTACTCAGAGGGTTAACATGTGCTAAAATTACATACTGCAGTTCCTAGCTCCACTGATGAAAACATTCACTGCTTCTATCTTTAAATAAAAAAGCAAAATAGCCTTAACCCTTTGAGGATCTTATTAGCAGCAAGTTGCAATCTAAACAGAGAACAAGTATTTCAATCAATTAGGAAATTATTCTTACAAAGATTCTATGAGCACCCTTTTGTGTTCCACCATCCCAGCTTTTATTGCTGGATAGATCCACTGTATTCCCTCCACACAGGCCTGAAGCAGTTTCAGGGTCTCAAAGGGTTAAAGCCAAAGCTTTTGAGAAAAAGTGTTTTCTTAAAAGGGTGAGTTAGGTGAGCGAACAGTCTCGGAGGAACTTGGTGAATAGTCTTCCGATTCGGAGTTGAGTTCGGGTGGAGCTTGCTGAGCCTTATAACGTCCCCTCACATCCTGGTTGCGTCTTCGTCGGAAAACCTGCCTCTCCTTATCAAGAGCGGTGGTCTGGCAGGGGCATAAAATAAGAATAAATGAAATTAGGCTGTGTGTGAAACGCAAAGATAATGAAAACCATGAGGTTTTATGTGGCCTGCAAATACCAGGGATAATAAATGTTCAGACCAAATTAAGCCTGCTCTGTCTCAGTCAGGTCTGAAAGGTTGAGCCCACAACATAGCTAAACGCTTTAAAAAGTGCATTTCCCAAACCTTAAGAGGTAGTGTGACATCATCAAGCAGATACAGTACCATATATATGGATGCCATATGTTCTACTTCTGGATGTTATTAATTTCATCCTTTAACAGGATCAAATTTCAAGCCAAATACCAAGTGACCTTCCCCCCATCCTTCTCAAAGTATAAATCTGTTTCTACAGGCAAGGCAGAGATGTACACTTGTCTTTGATTTGACCTAATGAAGGCTGATACACACTCACCCGTGTTCAAGTCAGTGCAATCAGCTAACAAAGATGGATTGTGATGAAGTTGTCAGACAAGAGAGAAAAACAAACACCGAAGGGAGCTAGCCCAGCTCCTTGACACATCATGCTGCTCAATGGATGTTCTTAGGGAGAATGCTGAAGAGCTCTGACGGAAAGACCTGTTTAGCCTGACCACACTGTCTCTTCCTGTTAACCAAGGTCTACTGAATTCAATACTCTGCTAATTTTATACATGCCTAGTTAAGGTATCCAGGAATGGGACAGAGCAATATTTATTTGATGGGCAATAATTTTTGGTCGTTCTGCCATTATTGAGAATGCAGTTCTTAATAAGATGGTTGTTACTTCTACCCACATTCTTCCTTCTGCTTTTCTGGCACATTTACGAGGTGAAACTTCAACCCAAGTAAGGGTAGCCCTAGTCTGACTATCAGTTTCAAGCACAGGACTGGGTTTTGCTGTTTTCTTGATTATGAGATCTTAGACTGCAGTCCCTGAAATCACTGTAATATTACAAGTTCAACAGGATGGCCTTGATTCAGCAAGAGCACTTCGACACATGATTAGCTGCTTCTGAAGCAGAGCTGCCCCCTTAAATCCCAACCATGACTGTTTTGGAAAAAGCAAAATGGGAAAAGGCAGGTGACCAGTAAGATGACATACAAAATGCAACCAACTATCTGATTATGGCACTGGAAGCAAAGATAACTTTGAGAACTAAATAGGTTTCACTCATAAGGCTTGTAAAATCTGTCCCTATATTGAAAAGGTCTATTTAAAGGAATTCAGACAAAAGGTTATTCTGCTTCAAAGGATTTATTGCGTTCTCTTAAGATATGCATGACTGATTTCTCTAGAAAATTTACCAGTTACAGTGTAAGCCTCATAGGGGAGCAGAGACGTATTTATAGTCAACATATTTTTGAGACTAAAATGAAAACTAAATCCATCATACTGCTGCAGAATAGCATTATAGCAATCTATGCTTTCAAATAATGCAACCAGCATTCAATAATGATGTAACAGAGACAGAAAAATGGACAGGAGTACAGAACTACTATAGCAAATGGATTTAGTTAGGCTATATTGCTGAATGATTATTTTTGTGTCTAGAAACCATACAGCACTACTTTAAAAGGGTAAAGTGATCCACTTTGATAAGTTCATCCCTATATTTTAAATAAGAATTGCTACAAAATCCAACACTTTGAATCTGCCTTTTTTTTTTTTTTTTGTTTACTGCTATCTTTTGGTTAAGAACTCTAATTAGTATTTTCAATGCCTTCTATGTTTCTCAGTCTTGAACCAATTCAGTTTTTGATTATTTTTAATGTGAAACAGAAGAATACCTAGATTTTTTACACACAGATAATATACTGCTTACAGTATGTAATTTTGTGTGAAAATTGGAAAGAATGGCATATATTACTACTCTATAAAATACAGATTTCCTTTTAAAGGATATTTTTTTATGCTTACAGGAAATAAGCATTTATTTAAAGTTTAAACCACATCACATCATTCTGCGGTAATAGATACTCTCCCCTGAGAAATTTAAACATTTCTTGTTGAATACAGAAAAATACTTGTATTAAATTGAGAATTTATTTTTCAAACCTATTATATGGGAATGGCAAATGCGTATGTAAAATCTGAAGGTATTTAAATTTAGATAACTGGCACATAAGGGAATATATAAGAAAATTGGGGTTTTAAGATATTGCTTTTAATAAAGAACAAAGATAAGTAGGTACCAGAACATCTTTTCAAAGATGTCTGTAAAAATAAACCCCAAGATATTATTTCTATGATTGTTAGGAAAGTTTTAGCGACTCTTCTTTAAATCTCTTTGTTTAAAAATACATAGAAATACTCCCTCAATAATGAAAGATACTAAGAAAAAACCCCATGATGGTCTCACCTAAACTAGCACCTTATGCTGCTGTAGTTTGTAGGGCCAAATATTTCTGGCTTCCTAACCCTTCAGAAACTTCCTGAGATATTTTGTTACTTTCTTTACATTTTTATCCAGTGTTTGCCCAGGATTTCATCTAATCAGTCTTTGTGAAGACATATTTCTAGAGTCCTGGGCATTATTGTGGTTACTCTCCTAGGCTGAGAGAAATCCAGAGCCTTTCTCATCCAAAGAACTTACTGAATAAATACTTACAAAGCCACAGAGAGTCAGTATTTATCTAGTGAGAGCAAAAAATACGCAGGTCATATTCTAATGTTTGGTGTTTACCATTTCAAAACCATGCAATGGGGCACTTCTGGCCACAGGATGCTCAGGCCCTATAGAACTTGCAAGAAAAGGCTTATTTTGCCCAATGTTCCAATGACATTTGACACTTCCAGTGTCTAATACACTGGTGATGGTATCATGGCTCTGCATTCTGCAAATATGCTATTTTTCATTTAATGATGTTGTGGTTACTTTTTTACCTTGAAAGAATTTCAAAATGTGATAAGATCCATCCTTTGGAACACAGAGAAGATGCTAAGACAGTTACATATGAGTATTAACTGTTTGGGTTTTGTAAGTGTGATTTTCACCTACTGTACTTTCCTATGCACATGGACATATTCCAAAAATCAGATTTTTCATTATTATTGATGTTTTTGTAACAAAGGCTTCTTATACACATTGCCTTGGTTTAACAGATGTGTTCTTTCACCTGCTGTTCATCTGGGTGGTTTGCTGGTGCATGAACCAGTCCATTATGGATTTCCAGGGCATTTCTACTTCAAGCAACTCTTTAAAAAAATAATAGGATAATCTGAAATACACTTATGCTTCACAGGGCTGCAAATCTCAGATTTTCATTATCACATTTTGACATTTTATTTTTCCCAGATCTAGGTTAGAGACTGAGAACTTTGAAAACCATATGAGAGTAATGGCAACAAAAATGTAAAGACAGCATTCTTATTTAAGATATGCAGCTGCCCTTCTGCAATCCATGTGAGAAAATGTAGAGCTTCTTATTCAGCAGAAGATAAGTGGATTGCCTCTAATAATTTGGTGGCAATGCGTCTGAAGGACTTCATTAAGAACTAACGTATTTTGCACCAACATTTAGTAATCCTGACACCCAGTACCAAGTGCTTACCAAGCCATTTTTGGAAATGTATTTAATTTGTAGTAACAGAGCATTATTTTAAAATCATTGTTTCTGTCATTGACATGTTAAGATGTAGTTAGCATTTTTCCAGGATTTTACCTTAAAGTGTGTTCTCATCCTGATTTTTACTTACTTGAAGTTACAGGACTTATGAGCCACGCAAATCTATTTTTCATCTTGGAAAACACTGTACTGTGTATTTATGAACAGATTTTCACAAACTACAACCGCTTTGATATATGTGGTGGATTTGCAATGGGAAGAGCCTTATTTCAGCTGTGGGCTGATATTTTCTGTTAGGTCAGTAATTACTGGATTAAAGTAACTGAATTTCATGAAAGTGAGCAGTGACTGTTATTCTTTTCACTTGTCTTAATTTACTGCTGGCCACCAAATATATATATATATATATTAGTTTCATTAATAAAAGAACATTAATGTGCATTTTGCCTCTTAGTCCATACATTATTCATACCAGCCAGGAGACTAAACTGGGGATGCAGCTGTTCATGCATTAATCTAAGAAACCCTTCCCTTCACTTGCTTTTATTCTGCAGGAGCATACTTGCAATTTGTTAGCAATTTTCATGAAGCTTTGTTTAGCGTGTGGAATTAGATGAATCTATGTATTAAACACTGGTATTTTTACTTAACCAGTACATTCTTTTATATCGACAGTTTTATACACACATTTAAAAGCTTACACCTAGATAAGTTTATCTTATTTCCTTAAACTTCTGGCTAGTGACCTTTATACATTGTCAGGTTTCCTTGCTGTAAAAATTACCATTAAACATTGCTTGTGGCACAAGCCAGGCAGCCCTTCAGTCTCATCTTTTTTAAAATTTCTTTTCCATGGGTTTCTCAGGTTATATATATATATATATGTATATGTGTATATATATATATATATATATATGTACACACTATATATATTTTTATATATTTATATTTATATATATATATATATAAAAGTGTGGTTGATTCATGAATCAAGACACTTTTTTGAGAGTATTTCAAACTTAGCAATGCACCTCATCCAGGAGCAAGACACTTAGAGTATTTTTAGTCCCTCAGGCACAAGGTATAACTAAGTCAAGTTACACGGTGATTTGGAGACGTGCAAATGACCACATCGAGGGGACAAATTAATCGAGTGGATTTGAACCCAGACCTCCAAATACAAAACCCCGATGCTTTGGCACACCATGTAACTTCCAGCATGAAATTTAGCTAAAATGAAAGTAAAAAAAAAGGAAACCAAATCAATTTGATATATGCTTTGTGCTGTACTGATGAGTGAACACAAAGGCAAGTATTCTATATACATAACTGTTGAATTCATATTGGTGTATTTAAGTTTGTGTTTACTCTTTGACATCCCCCTTTTTATAGACACGATTCCTCAGCTGGTTTCAATTACATGTGGAAGAGAGTTAGTGCCAAGT